GGCATGGTGAGTGCTCACATTAGTGATGGATGGGCAGGCTACTGGGAATAATTTATAATCGAAATTCCTCTCGCCTCCCTCTTCCCCAGATAGGTGACCTAATAGCCCGTTGCTCCCAAGCCGTTGTTGACTCATGTTTCACAGTCCTTGGCTAACTCTTTATTTGTAATTTTGGCTGTTTTGTTCAACAGTGGCATATGCAGTGTCAAACACCAATAGTTGTATGCCGAGATTTACTAATGGCCGTATTGAGATCTGCCAGCAACAAACCTTTTATTTTTCATCGCTACTTTAGCATTACTTTAACAATACTTTTTGTAATTATTTTCATTTTATTTGAAAGAAGGTGGAGTGAAGGGGAAGAGAGAGGTAGCTGGGGACACTTCCTGTCGCTGGTTCACTCCCCAGTTGCCCCCCTATAGCTGGTGTCGGATAAAGCGGAAGCCAGGAGACAGGAACTCATTTTGAATTTCCCATCTGGGCACCAGGGAGCCAAATGCTTGAGCTGTCTCCTGATGCCTGGCAGTGTGCCCATTAACGGGAAGCTAGAATGGAAAGAGGAGCTGGGAATCCCCTCCAGGTATATTCATATAGATATCAATGTCCCAAACAGTCTCAGTCTCTCTCTCTCTCTCTCTAAGATTTATTTTATTTTTATTGAAAAGTCGGATATACAGAGTGGAAGAGAGAGAAAGATGTTTCATCCACTGATTCACTCCCCCAATGGCCGCAATGGCCGGAGCTGAGCCAATCTGGAGCCAGGAGCCTCTTTTGGTTCTCCCATGCAGGTGCAAGGACCCAAGATTTTGGGCCGTCCTCCACTGATTTCCCAGGCCATAAGCAGGGAGCTGAATGGGAAGCAGGGCCTCTGATATTAGAACTGGCATTCCTATGGGATCCCACCTGATACAAAGTGAGGACTTTAGTCACTAGGCTACTGTGCTGGGCCCAGTCTGTCTCTTTTTAAAGTTATATTTTACTTTTATTTGAAAGACAGAGTTACATAGAGGAAAAAGAGAGAAAGGGCTTTTATCTATGGGTTCACTTCCCAAATGGCTGCAGTGGTCAGAGCTGGGCTGAACTGAAGCCAGGAGTTAGAAGCTTCTTCCAGGTTGCTCATGTGAATGCATAGTTCCAAAAAGTTCAGGCACTTGGACCATCCTCCACTGCATGACCAGAGCATAAGCAGGGAGCCATATTAGAAGCAGAGCAGCTAGGACATGAACCAGTGCTCATGTGGGATGTTGGCCCTGTAGGTGGAGGCTTAGTCTAATATGCTTTGGTGCCAGGCACCTCAAACAGTTGTTTAACTTTTGGCAAATGCTTGCTTTCCTCTTCTTCATTGATATTTGGCTCCAACTTTTGTATTCTTGAGTTCATCAAAATATCTTTATTTTGCTGTGGATCATTTCTTCCATTTTGACAAAATTTACTGTTTAGCAGGGATGGCATGTTTTTATTTTCACCATTGAAAAAGTGCTTTTGTTCTGGCATTTTATCAATTAATTATCTAGAAAGTGTAAATTTAATATCAAAATCTCCTACATTACCAAAGTAATAAAAATCTTCTCTTTCTGTATAAAGTTTCCACTTATGGACCCTGTAAACCACGGACTTCTCTCAAAGATGCCATCAAATCCACTGATGATCGTGATACTTCTTTCACTAATGAAGCTAGCTTTTCCCTAGATAGCCAAATACGGGAAAGAGAAGCCATGTTGAGTACATACATCAGTTGAAGAAGTGGGGTTGACATCTGAGGACATTATGAGTGGATCACAAGCAATGTGCAAGGTGGAGGGAAGGAATCTTAAGGTTAAATGATCATGTTGGTATCTGTTTGTTTTTTCTTTTACCCCAACCGATACACAGGTAGGAAAAGCTTTTCCGGCCACAGTACAGTGTTGAAGCAGAAATGAATGGGAAATTCAATGCTTGCTGGCTCCGCATGTCTACTTGCTTCTGCTCCAGATCCTGTATCATGTTGTATGCATATGTTACAGATGCTTCGTTCCCACCCCCAGGGCAGAAGACCTTGGCTTTCCTTCTTATATATTGTCAAATAACCAACTATGTGAAATTTTTTGGGTTTTTTTCCCCCCAAACAGTTTTGGGTGTTGTCTAGTTGAGATACCTGTCACATCATATTGGCACTTCTGTTGAGTGGATGTAAGAGCCTACAATTATAAGCTGATTAGGACATCAGACTTGAAATCGGACTTAGAAATGAGACAAACAGTTCACAGAAGTTTTGGAGTTTTTATTACTTACAACCTTAGCTTTCAAACAATGACAGGTATGGTTCGGACATTTTCTTTCATATTCCAAAAGAAAGTCTTAAGTATCAATGAGTTTTAATGCACAGTCTTTACTGGTGTGTGTGTGTGTGTGTGTGTGTATCCCTAAAGACATGCCAACTGTACCCACATCTGGATCCAATATTGGGTAACCTTGTTTAGTCCTTAGATTTAAGTGTTTTTGAAGGACATCTTTTATAAACTCTGGAAGCAGACTACAGATAGTTACCAGCGGGATGCATTCTTAGAGTTCAATGACAGTCATTGAGTCAGATCTGAAATTCTGAATTCCACAGCAATTAAGAGCTTAGAGAAAAATTTCAACAAGTGTGCAAAATAGGTTAGAAGACTTGAATATATTATTGTACTAAGTGAACAACTTTAACTTTATTTCTGCTTTTGCTTCTATCACTCATTCTCTCTTCCTTTTTCTCCTTTCCTTCCCCTCCTCCCACTCCTTCTCTTCCATTCCCTATGTCCCCTACCATCATAACATCCATCTAGTTAGCACATTACAAGATGGTGTTGCTTGATATTTTGAGCAGTCAGAAGAATTGTAGTATCCAGAGATGTGTGTTGAGAAGAAAGAGCAGGTAGATAGGGGAAGGAAAAAATTTGCTTCTGAGGAAAAATACCAACAATTGCACACACACTAACAGAAAAAGGAGTTGAGGCTGGTCCGAAGGTAGTGAGCCATCACAATTGATTGTTCACAGAAAAAGGAGTTGAAAATAAAGTAGTGAGAAATACAGTGCAAAACTGATGTTCATGAAGAATGTTAAAATATACAGCTTCACTATTAAACCATGTTTAATAGGTTAGTATTAATGTCAGGCACTAGGGAAGGCTTAGAATAATCCAAGATAAATAATATGGTCTTGACTTTTGTTCTTTGGGTTCTTTATGGTACGATCCTTGACCTGTTTATGATGTCTAGGATCATAATGTAAATGACATGGTAGGCACACAGAGAAGAAGCTTATCATTTCCCCTTGAAATGGGGGTAGAAGTGGAGAAGGCAGGCTAGAAAATGCTCCTTGGAAGTGATGACACTGGAGCCCTTAAGGGCTGTATATTTTTATAATTTCTTTACAGTTCCAGCATAGGCCATTGGAAATATTCAAGGAATCAATGACCTGTTAACTTTATTCAAGGTGCCTGAGTCATTTAAGTTTTTATAGTCAATACAACTTGTGTGTGCTTTAAGACGGCCTGACTCCATCTACTCTGTGAACTTTTGGTCAAACTAATTTTGAAAGTCTTTGTGCAAGTACGTTGGACTCTGTTCAGCCTGTGAACCATAGTTTAGATTACATTGCGTCCTACTGTACCTTGTTTTTCTCACCCTTGGATTATGAATTGCTTAAGGACCTTGGAATACTTCTCTGAGCCATACCCTAGGATTATTTTATCTCACTATTAAAAAATAAGCACATATAAATGATAGGAGGGGAGTGTGGAGACTGGCTTTGAATTGTCTGTTTCTAGAAAAATATTGCCTGTTATTGAGGAAAAACAATTCTGGGGGCAAGAAGGACTGTAGTCTAGTCTTAGATTGCTCTGCTGAATGCCTTGAAAGCATATGTAAATTATTTACCATCGGATGAAATTCAACTGATTCAGTGCTATTCTGTTTGGGGAGGATAATGAAAGAAGTGAATGTTCAGTCTCCCTCCACCTTCGGAATCTATAATATGCTATATGAGTTCTTTAGAGGGGTAATTTCTCCACTTGGCTACATATTTGAATTCCTAGTATATATTGATATGTCACCATGAATTCACTAAAAATAAATAAATAAATAAAATAAACCTGACACTGTAGGAAGCTTTATTGATATTTTCTAGGATTAATATTGCAAAGACATCCTATGTAAAGATGTATTATTAGTCATTGGTCAAAAGGCAAAAGTATTCTAAAACAGTTCTAAATATAAAACTGAGATTACTACTCTGGCATTAAAATTTGCAATTTGCAAAAATGCTCAGCTATACTTTCCCTACAGTGAAAATTCTGCATAAATATATAAAGTTGTGCCTGACAGAAATCATTTGGGTTTATTGTGCTAAGAAATACAATTATTCATATTAACTGTAGCATAATAATCTGACATCATGTTTTCTGCTAAACATTGCACATTACTAGTAACTTGATTGTTTCATAATAATGAAGTTCAATCAGTAAGATGTTAAGGTATATGTATTTAACTGGCAGAACTTCATGAAGGGTTGAAAATATAGCCGATTGATAAACAGCATTCATGCAACACTGCCCATTTCATTGTACTTAAAAGGGAAGCAATTAAAATATGGAATTACTAACATAGCATTTGGGGAACAAAGAAATTCATACAGGTTGTTGAGATAGCCAGATACATTAGTATATTTTAAGATGTAATATTTTATTTCTCTGGTTCCTATATGCATATAGATATAGTAAACCTGTATAATTCATTAACTCTATACAAAGAAGTACTTAAATAATCTTAAATAATACATAGCTGCTAACTGCACTTACATTTTTTTAAACAGGTTTGTACAGCCAGTTGCCATTAAATATTTTAGCAAGAAGTACCTTTAGAGCTTGGAAGTTCAAGTTACTTATTCTGACATATATTTTTCATAAATCTATATACAATGTCATTTCCATTTATGCAAGTCCACATTTCTTTGATCCCTATAGGTGAAGAAAACAGGATCTGCTATCAGAATTTCCTTCAGTTGATCGTGATCAAGACATGGTTAAGCTGGGCCAGAGCCCAGAATACCTGGATAGAGAAATGGGCTGGTTAACAAACTGGAATGAGCACACCATTTACCTTAACTGAAGTACAAAAAAAAGTCATACCATCACTATGACCTGGAAAAGGGGAAAATGTAAATTTTGACCAGGAAGCCTGTTTAGAAGCATTTCCTATGAACAATAGGAGGACCAGCTTCATCATATTCTTGCTTACTGATCCACATCTGCTGGAATGTAGACAGGCTGGCCAGGATGGAGCCCCCAATCCAGACGGAATACTTCCGTTCTGGGGGAGCGATGATCTTCACTTTCATGGTGCTTGGGGTCAGGGTTAAGATTTCCTTCTGCATCCGGTCAGCAATGCCTGGGTACATAGTGCTGCCTCCAGACAGCACAGTGTTGGCATACAAATCCTTGCGAATATCCACATCACACTTCATGATCGAATTAAAGGTCGCCTCGTGGATGCCACTGGACTCGAGGCCCAGGAAGGAAGGCTGGAAAATGGCCTCAGGACAGCGGAAGCGTTCATTCCCGATGGTGATCACCTGCCCATCTGGAAGCTCATAGCTTCTTTCCAGCGAGGAGGATGCAGCTGCGCTGACCATCTCCTGCTCAAAGTCCAGGGCCACATAGCACAGCTTCTCTTTGACATCCCGCACAATCTCTCGCTCAGCCGTAGTGGTGAAGCTATAGCCTCTCTCCGTCAGGATCTTCATGAGGTAATCCGTCAGATCTCTGCCTGCCAGATCCAGACGCAGGATGGCATGGGACAAGGCATAGCCTTCATAGATGGGCACAGTATGAGTGACCCCGTCCCCAGAATCCATGACTATGCCTGTGGTTCGTCCGGAGGCATAGAGGGACAGCACAGCCTGGATAGCCACATACATGGCTGGTGTATTGAAAGCCTCAAACATAATCTGAGTCATCTTTTCGCGGTTGATCTTGGGGTTGAGGGGCGCCTCGGTGAGGAGGATGGGATGCTCATCAGGTGCCACCCGAAGCTCGTTGTAGAAAGTGTGGTACCAGATTTTCTCCATGTCGTCCCAGTTGGTGACTACTCCATGTTCAATGGGATACTTCAGGGTCAGGATGCCTCTCTTGCTCTGTGCCTCATCCCCGACGTAGCAGTCCTTCTGGCCCATGCCTACCATGACCCCCTGGTGTCGTGGACGCCCCACCATAGAGGGGAACACAGCCCGTGGGGCATCATCTCCACCAAAGCCTGCCTTACACATCCCTGATCCATTATCTACTACTAAGGCGGACAGCTCATCATCAGTCATGGCGCTTGGTGGAATCTTCCAGATGAGCCGCCACAAGTGAAATCTAGATTAAGTAACTGACTACAGTGTGCGAGAGAGGCTGTAGAAGCCCAAGACACCCTAAAACTGTTCTCAGAAAGGGGAGCCTGTGCTGTGACCCTCGGTATTTAAAGGAACACATAGACCCTCCCACGTCCTCTCCTACTAGTTCCCAGCATTTCTGGGTGGAGTCTCCTTGGAGGTATTAATAATGATGGAGATGATTATAGAAATCATTAGTAGACCAGAAGGTCTACTAATTCATAAAGAGAAAATTGGCTACCAACTGGCCCAATCCAGGTTACTGTAATTAGGCAGCCCACACATGGCTGTCAGCCTGCTTGGCGAGGTCTCTGGATGAACGCCCATGATGCAAGGGGGTTATGAATGTAAGATGAAAGCAAGGCAGTGATAGGGAAGGGTGATGCTGCCCAGAGCACCACCCCCTCCTTACTCCATCCCTGATGCCAGCTTCTCCCCACAAGCTTCAACTTTTCATTTTTAATGTATTAGGGAGGATCTGACTTCAGTATCTTTGTTTCATTAAATTCTGAATCCTGAAGAATGTCACCATGACAGAACTTGTTTTAATGAATGCAGATACTGAGTGGCAAAGATGGGCTGACAGCTATAATTGTTATGCATTTGTGTCATTCAGGATGGCAGGCGTTCACTAGACTGCTTATCCATCAGGAAAAGGTAAGAGCAGTGGAGTGAAGGATAAAGTCAGCCTCTACAGATTTAAATTTCATCTGACTTAACTAATAGTCACATTTTATGAAGTGCTTGTATTCCTAAATCTTATTCATAGAACTAGGTTTTATTGGTTTCATATTGGCTGTAAGCAGGCTAAAGGCCCATTATCTTGAATACTTAGTGAAAATTAAAATTATACAATTTTATTTAATAACTTGTAACACAATAATAACCAAAACTAAATGATAAGATTCCAGATTATATATTTAATCTGGCCTTCAAATATTTCAATCTTCAGGGTGCATAAGTTATAACATCAAATTTCTTTAGTTATTAAAATCTCAATGTGCATAATATTAACTTTAGAGTTTATGTCTAATATAGAATTAGATGACAAGTTAAGACATGCACCCTGATAAAATGTAGGACATTAGCAGTATAATTCCTGCAGTGACACATTGAAAGGCTAGTTACTTCTGCTCTCATGTGTGTTAGGTAAATAATAGGACGTAATTTCCTGTCAATGTTTCTAAAGAAAAGCGTTTTCTTAATGCCCATGTTTGGAATTCTGCACAATCACCTTTATTTCAGTTATTCATCTGTCCATTTATTTACTCAGCAAATTTTATGTTCTAAGAAGTGGCAGTAGGCCCTCACTGCTGAGTAGACATACATCCCCGGTCAAAGATAGGAGCCCCGGCATGGGATCGCCCAGTGTGCCACTTGGAGGATCATGACAACGCTAAGTTGAGTGTCCAGCTCTCTTTTTCTACATTTTGATATGTAATTAAATATAAACATTACTTTGTTCTTTAATATTGCATCAAAATCTTTACTTTCAACCATCGATCATGGTAGAATGTATTTTACCACAGGATCCATGATATTCTGTTGGGTCCAACCAGGACTAAATATTCCCTTCATATTTTCTGATACTACAAAATCACTCCTGCAACAAAAAGTGGCTCTCAAATCTTCACACTGAATGGTTCTTTGTACAACCTTTTTATGTATACAATCAAGATTTTGATTAAAACAATATTTCATTGCTATTGGATGGTGCTTCTGGGAATGTCTGGCTTACAAAAAAGGTAACAAGCTCCATGCGTAGCCTACAAAAAGGAAAATGAAATGCACATTGCATTTAGTGCAGGTCCCATTTGTGAGTGCTCCAGTCTGGAACAGAAAATGAAGCCGTCTAACTGGAATAATCCATATTCTACCAGTGTAGCCTTAGATCCTAGTTTTATGAGCGTGCTGTCCTTAGCATTGCCTGGGAACAGAGGGCTGCTGGGTATAGAGTTGGCACAGCACAGCGGAGGCATTGAGAATGCAAGGGGTGTGATGTGCCACAGACCTTCTAGCCTCTGTTTTAGTGTCCCTAGAGAAATGTTTATCAATTATGTATTCAGAAGAAAACTTACACTTTTAATTTTTAATACCTCAACAGAGGTGTGTACTGCAACATCATTTAAAATGTCATCGGTTGAATGGGATGCATTTTTAAAAAGAATTTGTGAGTGAAATGTGGGAAAAGAGACTAACAAATAGCAGGCACTAGGGTGTGGGGATGGCAGGTGTTACAGCGCACTAGAATTGACAAATATCTACTGACGTAACCCATAGAGGCCTTTGTGGTTAACTACTGAAAGCACAAATTATTTCCTTTACCCTTTTCCTAGTTTGTCTTGCAGCTGCACAGAAAGAGAGTAAAGCATCATATGGGTATTAAGGATAGCAAGCAGAGGTGACAAAAGCCATTCCACTGTGCTTCCATCCATTCAATCCAGAAACACTGAAGAAACATCTCCTATGAGTCAGGCGCAGGCGAGACAAGATGACTAAAACATAGCCCATTTCTAAAGGCTCTCATTTATATTTACTACAGTCTGGGCAAAAGTCACCTTGTTGCAGGGCCGACAGGTTGCTATTCCGCATGTGCACAGAGCAGCAGACACGTGTTCTGGTGGGGAGCTGTCAGTAGTAGGCCGCCAAAGACATTTAAAAAAATTTATTTTTACTGGAAAGGCAGATTTATAGAGAGAAGGAGGAGAGAGAGAGAGAGCTTCCATAGCTGGTTCATTCCCCAAATGAAGCCACAATGGCGGGAGCTGAACTGATCCAAAGCCAGGACATTCTTTTAGTTCTTTAAGTTCTCTCACGTGGGTGCAGGGTCCCAAGGCTTTGGGCCATTGTCTACTGCTCTCCCAGGCCACAAGCAGGTAGCTTGAAGGAAAGTGGAATAGCCGGGGTATGAACCGGCAACCATATGGGATCCTGGTGTGTGCAAGGCGAGAACTTTAGCTACTAGGCTATCGTGCCAGACCTCCAGGCCAAAGATTTTGAATGTCACTCCTAGCTATAGAGTGTACGGTGTGGGTACATGGGAAATGATAGAATCCAGGGAGACATGAAGATGGATGGTTCAGGGGCTCCTGAACGTGGGTCTGTGGCAAGAGAGAGGAGTGGCTCAAGGAAGTTTTGGACTGCATTTTAGAGGATAGACTGGAGTCTGCCAGTGGTCTGTTGAGGCAATTCTAGGAAAATCAATGGATCCAGTGTGTCTTTGGGATTTGATGTCTGAACTAGAGTCTGTAGAGTTTAGAGGCTTAGAACAAGTCTTCATAAGCATGAGCCAGGGCGAGCAGCTCCAGAACTAGATGTTGCTTTTCCTTTGGGATATACCAGATTTGATTATGGGCCTCTTGCCCAGGGGGTTGATGGAGACTGCGCCTCAGTGATTATTGCTTGTCTAGACTCTCATATCTTTATAGCCTTTAATGAGGCCTCTTGGGGTGACCATCAATTTAGAATATTGAGGTCACTAACTTCTGCTTTTGTCCTCACTTGATTCGTTCCTTGTGTACCAAACTCTTTTTCTTACATCTTTGCTGGGTTTTTATGTCAGTCTGCTTCTCCCAAGGAACTGACTGCTTGGAGAATCTTCTCTGATTATACTCTGCTCCTAGTGGGGATTTGCAATGTGACTATTTAGAGTACAGGATGGGTGGTTAGTTTGAGATTTTTCTTCATTGCATATTCATCTATTCATTGAGAGATGTAACTGCTCATTTTGCAAAAATTCTAAAAAGCTCATTTACCTTGTGGTTAAACATAATATTTATATTTCATATTGATAAAATGTACTAATCACAATGGCTTATGAACTAAATATTCATTCTCAAGAAGTCTTTAAGGAATTGTTTTAATACTTAACATGCTAAATTTATGAGCATTTTGTGACAAGCATACAGTGTTCTTATAAGTTTTAATATTTAGAATTTTGCAAAAGATCTGAAAGTTTTTAAAATACCACAGACTTTCCTCTATGCAGCATCTCTCGAGGCTGGTACAGGCAAGTGGGCAGAAAGAGTGGCTTTGGTGAAAATACATCTTGCCTGCTTCTGGGAGGTACTTGGACTGATAATCTGAGCACAAATATTGTTTGTGGTGCAGGAAATGCCAGCTTCCAGCCCTCAACCTGTGTAAACATTTTCTGTGAATAGATCAGCTTCCACTCCAGTAGGCAACAGGATTTCTCTCTGCTGCTTGAGACCTAAAAGGAGCCATGTGGCTGTTCTGGCCAATTTTTTAGCCTATAGCAGAGTTTGGCTTTGGGCAGTTTCGTATGACCCGTGGATGAAGAAGGCAAGAGGAGGCATATGTTCCTGTGTGGAGTAGATGAACCTTCAGAGAGTCCTTGTTTTGAAGGGGGAAAAAAAAAGAGCTCAGAAGATTTCTGATGGGAACTATTTGTCACCTAGGCCTGAGATAAGTTCCAAGATCTTAGTGATCATGAAGGATGGTGGGAAACAATGAAGACCATTGCTTAGTGTGTGCCAGTCTCGGTGCTAAATGCTGCAACTGTGCATATCGTTTCTTCAGTCTTCATAAGCAGCTGCATGAACTATGGAGAAATATCATGCTCAGTTTAGAAGGAGTCAATTGAAACTTAGAGGAAGCTGATCAAGCTTAAACAGTGCTATAGGATTCAAATCCAATCCACAGCTCAAGTTCTGCTCAAGGGACTATGAGAAAGAGCACAGGGCAACTGACTGAGCCTAGCGAGAGGCAGGCCATAAGTACTAGCCACTTGAAGTCTCTGTAGTCCCTGTTGGGAAACATCACCGTTCCAGAACCAAATGCCATCTCAGAGTGGAAGCTAGGCTAAGTATTGAAACCAGAAGAGGAAAATCAAAATTCCAGAGAATGATAGCAGATTCTCCCATATTATTAATATTGACATTAGGAAATCTTACTTTCAAATTAAAGAAGAATTTGGAATTAATGCCTGGACAGA